TTTTTTTTTTGTACCTGTCGGCGCGGAATTTCTTCAAAACTCGTCTTATTTCGGTGTCACTTTCTCTCACTCTCTTGATCTCTCTCTGTATGTGTCGCTGTTTCTTCGCGTTCATCCCGTCTTGCCCGCAAAACTTCCCCCCCCCCAACTCCACTCCCCGCCTCGCCATGCCTGAGCCGTGCCGCCGCCGCCTCGCAGCCTGCGGGCGGGGGGGCGGGGGGGGGCCTCCACGTTTTTTTTTCTTGTTTCTTCGCGTGTTGGGTGGGTGGGTGGGTGGCGTGCGTGGCGGAATGGTCAGAATGGATTGTTTTTTTTTTGTGTGAGTGTTTATTTTATTTTTCTTCGCCACCGAAGGACAATGTCGTGAGACGTGGCCCCGTTGCAACGCTGCGGGCGGCCGTATTTTATGCGTTCCATTTTTCTCTTTCGCTCTCTCCCTCTCCGGCTGCCTGCCTTCACGCCCGCCGTGCCGCGGGGGGCAGGTAAGTGTCGCAAGGAAACAATGCACGCAAGCACAGCGCAGCCGCCGCCCCCCGCGGTGCAGCGTGCGAGCTGCTGCGGCAACCTCGGCGTCGGTGCCCTGCGGCGCCAGCCGTGCGTGGACGTGGTGGAGTTGGACGAGCCCTCCGTCTACACCCCCTCCAGCGTGCGGGGTGGGGGCTCGCTCCCCCCCACCCCGCAGCCGCTTGCGGTGCTGCGCGAGGAGCCAACGCACGAGCCACGGCGCCGGAAAAGCAGCGGGGATCGGGACAGGTTTCAGCCGAGGAAGGTCACAAGTTGGACGACAACCACCACCACCACCACCGTCTCGCTGCCCCCCGCAACGGTGGTGATTCGCGCCGAGCCCGGCCCCCAGTCGGGGTCTACCCGCTCCTCCCTGTCGCGCGATAGGCAGAACGCCTTGCTGCAGTCACTCCTGGTGAATGAGCCACCCCCACCATGGGGCGGCGAAAGAGCGGCGTCGGATGGTGGACGATTCCCCTAGCACCGCACACCATGGGCGAGTGGAATGCATACCACAATTGTATAGCCATATATATATATATATATACATATATACATACTTTACTGCTTTCCCCCCTTCCACCCTCCCTCGCCGCTGCCCCGCGGGGCGGTGAAGTGACGATGTGCCTCTTCTCTCTTACTTGTTTGCTACCTGCGGCGCCTCTCTGCGGAGTTTTCCCCCTGGCAGTGCGGGCGGACCGCGTCGCCCCGGTGCATGGGCGCGCCGAGGCACAATTGCCGCGTTGCGCCCCCTTTCGCTCTCCCTTTTCTTCTTTCTGTTTGGGACAGGCCCGAGGGCGGGGGCCCTCCGTGCTGGCGCGTGTTTCCTTTGCTTTTGCCCCACCGCGGCAGTTGCGGCGGGGAGGCGACGTCCCCGCCGCACAAAACCCCGCCCCTGCCCGTGGGGGAAATGGACGCAGTGGGAAGGAAAAAAAGGAACAGGGAGGAGATGGGCACCGGAGTGGCGCCACTGGGCCGGGCTGCGTGCGGCACACGCGGCGTGGCTGTGGGGGCGAAGGAACACGTTCGCGGGCACTCGGCAGACGAGGCGCCGTCGCCCGCATTTCCGCGGCCGAGCGGACGGCGCTTGCGGCGTCTGTGTGCATTTCCCTTGCGGCCGAGTCCGCACGTGCGGTGTTCCTCGCCGTAACTGCGCCGGCTGTGGCTGCTGGCGGCAAACCAACACGCCGCCGCCCTTTTTTCTCTTTCGCGCACCGCTTTGCGGCGGGGAGCCCTCCCCCGTCGGCGCCCGGCACCCGGAAG